TATATATATATATATATATTGTTTGTACGTATATTATGATATTGTGATATACCTATATAATATGTGTATCGTATAATAAAATATAATGTATATAGGTATGCAGCGGGAGGAATTTATAATTGCCAACCACCTCTGTCACCCTCTCTCTCTTTCTTTCGCGTACGCCGTTTACTGCAGGTCGGCAAATTATTATTATTGTAGAATACCTAGGTAGGTATATGTTGTAAAATATAATATACCTACTTATCATAAACAACAGCTATTTTCGAGATCTCCGTGCTCGTCTTCGACGCCGCACCGCCGTCATCTGAAATCCGCCGCCATCCCGGCTCGTTTACATATATCTCACAATTTTATAAATATATATAAGACCATTTACCGACCATGCACATCTCCCTTTTGTATTCAGTAGTATTGGATGTATTAGGTGGTCGAAGTGGTTCAAAATAAGTGGAGCGATACCTTTCATAATTTATGTAGTTCTCATATATTGATCAAACAGTCGTACAAAATAAGTGGAGGCATAGAAAATTTGAATTGTAGAAAGTGGATATCCCACCGTAACTCCAGCCCCTCACGTCGACCATTGCCTGTATTTCAATAATATTTATCGTTTTTTGAACCTTTATATTATTGTATTAGTAAAATAGTGCAGCTTACTCAAGGACTGCAGTATTTTCAACTAAATTGATTTTTATGACATTTAAACTCTATAATTTTCATATATTTTTGATTTCTTGGAAAATGTGGAACGAATTTGATCTATATTTAGAATACTCGAATAAAATATACTACGCATTATTGAAGGAATAAAAAGGGGCGGGGGGTTTGTACTTAGTGTGTGCTTGGTGATTCACTCTGTACGATATAATATATTATAGTACCTATAAACATTGAAGCGATGATGAACGCACACAATCTCGCGTATAATATATTATATATAGTCATCCCATAAGTACCCATACATAATATACTCACACATAGGTACCTATATTATTATTATTATAACACTCGCCGAACGCGAAGAGGGCGTCGTCGTCGACGTTGCGGCCGCAGCGGCAGAGGTCAGATGGGTGTACGGCGTCGTCAGTGGATGGTGAAGCGGGGGGCGAGGGAGGCGGGGGAATCGATATAATTTATATTGGAAAACAATCGATTTCGATCTGTTATAAACAACTCGACGAGCACCTCCCCGCCGGCCGCCGCCCATAGCGCGTCCGTTATATTTTCGCAACGCGTTCGCGCCTCGGCAAACTTTGTAATTATCCGTTTCCATATATATTATTTTAATATAATAGCCGTGTGCATATGCTATATGTATATGATTTCAATATCGCCGCGATCCCATAATTGGAAGCCGTCTATCCAGTAATGACGTGTACAATATCGCATAGTCTATAACAGCATTATAGGTATAGGTACCATGATAGTAGTATAATAATATAATATATAATAATAAAATACCTGCGCGGAACGCATATTATCTTAATATTATATCGACGATAGGTGTCGCGGACTGCGCAGGGTTTGACGAGCACGCGTTAGAAAAATATATAATATGTTGAGGTTTAACTAATAATAAAGTTATCCTCGCGTTACCTAAGCGGTTTCTTTTTTCCACAATCCCGATCAGACATATCTGTCTCTTTTCCGCGCTCTGAAGTCCGAAAATTCGACCGTATAAGCGTGAGCAGACTTTGCAGGTTGCAGGGTGTGTAGCTGATAAACTATGCTCCTTAAAAATATAAATGTCCCTTAAAAAATGTAATAATAACAATGATACTTAATATACGCTATATTATGGTCTTAATCTATATAATATACCACCGCGAAATCGACGACTCGACCGCGGAGAACACATTTTAAAGAACACATAATAATTATACTTGCACGGAAACGATGGATGGTGGGGGGAGGGTTGGGTGGAAGAAAACAATTTTCCATTACCTATAGATACCTTGATGTACATGCATATATATATTAATTTGTACAATTGTACTCACGATGCTCGCGCTTTCTTGTTGTTTCCCTCAATAGGTTAGGTACCTGAAATATACTTGTATTTTGCCCAATAGCAACGCTATCAATATTCTCATTCCTGGCAATCTGTAATCTCTATTAATTTTAAAGTGGGAGGGGTTTTCCTGTTTTGTAAATTATTTTGTACCTAACAGTAATAATAATTATAGTTGTCTATTTCTACTATTTTCTAGATTTAATTGTGACATATAGGTAAAAGTAAAATATTAGTACAAAAGAAAAATTTAAGGTTTTTTTTATCATTAATTTTTATGGACTTCAATACATTTTTACTATTTTTGTTTTTATTTTTAATTGAATTTGTTTTAAAGATATAGTACCTATAGCTCGTTTTGTATAAATTATCAATATCAAGTAAATACTCGTTTTTTTTTGTTAATTAAATTTAAAGCGGTATATTATAATATGTTGTATACTCTGTAGTATGTATCCATAACACGTATAATATGAAAATTATTTGCAAAATAAACATATTATTACTATGCAGGCATATACATATATTAGGGTAGGCGGGTGAGACGAACGTCACGGTGGACACCACCTGTATAATAATAATATCATGGGTATCTGTATACCGTATACCACATTGTTCGCTTCTCCCGGTGTGGGTGGTATATTATACGATAACGCTCGCAACGCCGATGACGCGGGTCGGTCTTGGAATTATATTATTATGACGTCGGGCACGGGAGAGGTAAAAAAATTACACAAACCTAACATAATCATTATTATTATTAGGTGTATACGCGGTACACGTACATGGGTTTGGAACCTTACGAAACAAATATCAAAATTTCGACGTCCAAAACACAGCGCGCGCACGCCTCGCGGGTTACAGCAGATCGCAAGCGTTATAAACACATATTATGTATATTATATAAGTATAAAAGACGTGTGGTTTGTGATGTGATCGTGTTTAATTATATAGTTGAGGCCGCCGCCCCGTGCGAGATTTTTTTAGTTTTCGGTGAAACTGTCAATCTCGGGATGGCGAACAAAAAAACACCTATGGGGAAAATAATATCATAATGTACCTACGCGACGTGCGCACGTATTTCATAATATTATTATATTATATTATAAAGTTATATAGTCCGAAATATGAACATAGTGTACCTCCTATACAAGTATCTTGCTTCAAACTTTTACAAGTACTCGTTATAATAACCGCAGGTCTAGACAACGCTGTTCAAATTATACACAACAAAGTATTTAATAAGTCTATATTCGAAAACACAAATTATAAACATTTAAAACTACACATATTTTTAATTTGGCTGGTTTTGGCCAAATATAAAATACCGGTCTAAAAATATTAAACCTTTAATAATTAAAGGTATCTATAATCAAATATAATAAGAATTTTATTTTCTGTAACCCTGCAGTGTATGGACAAAAATTCGTTCTTCCACACACACAAACATTGCATTTCGATAATATAGATATATATGGGTTTCACACGTATAGATATATTTATATATTCATTAAACATCCTATGTGATACGAATGCGCGTTTAATCGAAATAATTCATCTCGGCCAATTACCCGACCTAGCTCAACCGGAAAACGTCGGGCTTATAATTACTCGGCCGCGGAGATTATTATTATAATATTGCGATTCAATGAGCATTTAATTATGTTAATTCGCCCGGTTGTCTGTTATATTGCAGCGGCCGGGCGAGGAAAAAAATCAGCACAACGCGTTCGCCACCCGCCGCGATGTATATATTATTATAATATTATTTATACAAAAAGATGCGCGCGTTCCCGCCCGTAACCTGTGAAATGCAAATTTATCAGTGACCGAAGTATATTATATATATATATATACTTACCCTATAGTACATTAAATTATATTATAATGGTGTCCAGCTCCATGATTCAGTCCGTATTTGTGTGTAGCATTGACCGGTATATGTATCGATACGGCGTATACACTGCATAGGTAGGCCTTTTTTTTTTTTCCTTTTGAAACCGGGAACGGGTGGGAACTGTTTAGCTGCATAGGTAGGCCTAAGTACCTACGTATAACCATGTAAGAAAACGAGAATAAAATGCTTTGTTTTGAAATAGTTTTAGAATTATCTATTTCGAGTCCAAAAATGAATAGGTATTTCATAAAATAAACCACGTATAAAAATGTTTAAAAATGTCAGTGATAAAGTCGAAATATATAGCATTATATTAGTGTTTTTTATAAACATTCTGCAGCATGCTATTCAATGAACGCCTCATCATCGCATACTTCATCCTTTTTCTTACGAGCTAAAATTTTAGTTAGGAATTTAGAAATATTACGAAAAACGGAAAACTGATTAAACTAACTCTGCAGTTTTTAATGAAAACTAATTTTCAGAATTTTTTTCGTCTGCATCGAACTGATTTTAAACAAAATACTTCAAAACCATTACTCTTATTTGTTATATTAGTTCAGTGAAATTATTCTAAACACGCATATCATATATGAATCGTGGTGGAGAATTATTTATTTAAATTTAAAAAGGACATTGCGCCCAATACTGCAGTATTCTAAAGCTAAACGTTCAATTTGACCATGAGATGAAAAATAAACTGTTTTCAAATCATAATTTAATCATATAAAATTAGAGAAAGTGGGGTCAAAGCTAGCAAGAGACCACATAATTGTATGCAATGCACTAAAAAGCTCATTCCAAAATCATGACAGTTCATTGTAGACTATGAAATAATAGTGCGTGATACACGAGGAGGATCTTTGAAAGACACAGGGATGAAAAAAGGGACCCCTGCCGATATCATATGCAGATTTAAGTTTTAATATATAATATTTAGGTTTGCATCGAGCCCCCAGATGTCGACTAATGAGTCGAGAAAAAGTCTTAAAGAACGGGAGTGTTAACGCTTGTAGAGGGGGCCAATAGTTTTCAAAATGTTTGCGAATGTATAATACAATGATAATAAATGATACATCATGTGTTTAGGGACCAGGAGGCGGCCGTGATGAGGGCCAACAGTTGGCTGTACCACTATTACATGGTGCAGAGTAAGCTCCAGTACGGTATGCAGTTCGAAGCGCAGACGTCGCCAAGGGTACCGTCCGCCGGGCCGACGCCGGTGCAGCCGGGCGTGCCCCCACCGACGGCGGCGCCCGTTTACGCTTACCATCACCAACAGTCACCGCACCAGCAGGACGGCGGTTACCCGTCCTCGGCGGACCACCAGCACCACCAACACCATCAACAGCACCAACAGCAGCAGCAGCAGCAACAACAACAGCAACAGCCGGTGCACTTTCACCAGTTGCCGGACGGATACTTCCGGTACGCCGCGGCAGCCTCGCCGACAGCGGGAGCCGCAGCGACGGCGGCTGCGACGACGGCTACGGCGACGACGACCGCGGTGGCCGCGAAACGGCACAGGCTGGAACCCGAACCCGTCGACTATTCCATACATTCACCCGAGCAGACGCCGCCGTTGAAGATAGAGGATGGCGGCCACTCGATGGCGTCCGATTCGACGCCGTCGCCACCTTCGATGGGCGGTGGCGGCGATTCCGGTGGCGGTTGCGCCACAGCCACGGTGGCCGCGCTGTCGTCGTCTCTGCCGTCGGCCACGTCGCTGGGCCGTTCCCGGGCACTGGTCAAGGCGGCCATGGATCCCGGAGACCTGATGATGGAAACGTGGAATCCCAGTCCACCGTGGTCGGACTGCTGTTCCGGGGCCGGCGCCCTGCAAAAGGTGCCCGATGTGGACATGCTCGGCGGCGGCGGTGGCGGCGGTGGTAGTTACTGCGGGCAGCCGACGCCTCCCACGCCCGGGAGCGGCGGTTCGTACCACGCGTCGTCTGGCGCACCGCAGCAACACCACAACCATCACCATCATTACCACCCGGGTGGCTGCGATGAAGTGCCCAACGCCGACACGCTTCATCACCACCATCATCACCACCATCACCAGCCGTCCACGTTCACGTTCGACTGGCCTGGCGAACAGTACGTACCCAACGTGCACGAGGTGCTCGTCGAGCCCACCCCGCACTATATAGTGCCGTTCCCACCTTGGCCGCACGCAGCTGCCCCTGACCACCACAGGCTGTTCCCTCTCCAACCACCACCTCCCGGCTCTCTGAACAGGCCGTCGCTCATCGTGCGCGTCGACCAAGACGCCGCGGCCGCCGACGCTTCTATCCAAGGTAAGCACACTTTTCCGCTCTCTCTTCGCTATACATGCAGTCAGTGTTATATAAAGATGCACATGCGTTGGGAAATTCTTATGTATAAATAGAAAACGCGCGTAAGTGCCCTTTTAAAATGACAAGTTAAGGATCCACACCTTGCGAGCGTACTAAACCCTCGGTATCTAAACGTGCTTAAATACAAAGTAATAAACTATAATTTCATAAACAGCTTGTTAACCATTATATTTTGGTACTTACCTTTTTTTTTTTAATTCTGGCCAGTACAAATCTATGGGTAGTGGGTACACATATTTTGATATTCATGATACTATTTTTAGTTTTAATTTACTTTGAATATATTTTGAATAGAACCATTATACAATCTTAATTCTTAATTATTTAAAGAAAACAACCGTACAACAGCTATGTACAATAACTATACGGATGATAATTAAAGATCTTAAAATCCCAAGAATCGCAACTATTTTGATATTCTAGAGCGACACGGGTGGGCCAAGCGGCCCAACATCTGTATTATTTTCAATATTTGCAAAGTCGGAACACGAACCATCAGATTCTCGTAAATAATTCACAAATCGTTTGCACGAACGTTTCTAGTCAATACGCCATACGTTATACCATAACACGGCGGGTGGCCCGACTTGGCGTACGTCGAATTGCCGAATCCTTTGTAAGTGCATATATACCCGGTGAAATAAATAGATTTCGTTGTCGATCTCCGCTGCAGCACCAGATACAGAGGGGAGGGCAAAGGGGGCTTCTTCACCCCCCCCCCCCCAACACCTTAGTTGCGTTGTACATTTTTGATTGTGTTTTTCACTGTTGGTTTTAGTAAACAGTCGTCGCACATATTTTTACATTTCCATTGAGTTTCAGTTGGTTAATATTCAGTTTAGTGAAGTTATTAAACTTAAATGTCGTTATTGAATATAATTTCTAGTACTTAAGTTCGTTGCGGCGTGAACTTTTTTTTCGATGATATTTTTAAATGAGTTACCACACACAAATATTGTTCCCATGTCAATGTGGGAGGCAATCCATAACCCAAATACTTGAAAGCACATTAATTATTCGTATAAACTATAGACGAAATCAACTATATGATTCACCACCACTTTTACATGAAGTAATCTCTTCTTAATATTTTCGCTCCGCCACAGAGTGTGAAGTTGTAAAATTCACAATTTACTATTTAATCGTTTTGTCCTCCCCCCTCGCCCACCTAAGAAAATCGAGCACTTGATCAGCCACTGGTGTAGTGTAGTCCCTTCGTCACGGTCCGCTATTAATAGACGTGTAACACTATACGCCCGCTCGCCTTGCACGCGCCCACACGCGGTATTTAGGTATACATGGTGTTAGTTATATCTATACACCTAGGTTAGGTATACCTCGGCGACGTCGTACGAGACGAGCGAAACTTATCCTCTCCGGATGATGGTGTAATAATAATCGCGAGCGGCATGTGAAGACGCCGACAAAGACGACGACCCCCGAATGTAGTACGCGCGCGTGCACTGCAACAGGTGGGCGTGCTCCGGTTTTCAATTAAAACGTCGTAGGCAGGCGGACGGGCGCGATAATATATTATAAGTGTCCGGAGTCCGACGTGCGCGCCACGTCGTCTGTTTATTGTCCGGCGCGTAGGATTTAAACAACAAAATAATAATAATAATAATAGTATTATATTAATTAGGTATTATAATTTATAATACACTACAAAGACCGCGACTTGAGCGCTCGCAAAATACCGCCTTGGTTCCGGGAGACGAAAACATAAAAAAATCAAAACGTTTCTCGCAGCAGACCGCGATTCGTCGTCCGTATGATCGTATATAATATAATATAATATTAAAATACTAAATTCGTCATCGCGTTAAATTGAAAAACCTGACCGCCGCTGCACCCTACGTCACAGCAGCTATACGAGTACATATTATCAAGGCGAGCGAGTTAACAATATATTTTTGTATTTAACTTGTCGAGTTAACACAGGAAAAATTAGTTAGACTGAAAAAAATACCAAATATAGATATACGTAGTAGGTACTACGAGCATATATATTTTATTATTAGGAATTTAAATTAATGAATAAAAAAAAATGAACCAACTTGTTTTAAAAAGATAAAATTTGACGTCTTCTTATTAATTGGTACCAATAATAATAGCATACACCAGTCAGATATAAAATAATTTCGTGTTTTTGCGAAGAATGTGGCAATCGATTTCCGGCAAACTTCTCGCCACCGACAATGAACTAGTGGAAGGTCTCGTACCCACTAGACATAATTTGAACCATATAGTATATCAATAGTAATGTTGTGTGACGTTTTGTACGTTGATATTTGTAATTACAGCGATTAATACTTTAATGTAATTGTTATTATCTACATAGATATTTTAATATTTGAGACAATGCACATTATTCCGTTGACTGCAAAAAATTAGCCCGTATACTTCTAAAAATTATATAACAATGTCAAAAACAATATTACAAAACAAATTATCATAGGTATCGAAGGTTTTCTAAAAATTATAACATAGCTCCCCCCCTTCTCACTCCGACAAGTCTCTGGAGCCGCTCCTGGTAATATAAGAGAGTTAGTAGTGTAGAGTAACTTGTAAATTTTAAAGTTAGTTTCAAAAATAAGTCGATTGTTTTCAGTTTTTAACTTGCTGTAGTCCGTCTCCACAGTCATTAAATCTATAATATATAGGTATTTGATAATGCGGTATACCGTATACACACATGAATGTTGTGATGTTGTACCGGCTATACCTACGTGTATCGCATAATATTGAATATTGTGTTTCGTTTGTGTTTTCTTCGTCATCGTCCCTCTGCCTAAGACGCTATAACAAAATAATAATAATATGATACATTATACATCGTACGAGTGGTTTTCCTCGCGTCGCATAGGACGCATATACACATAGTTTCGGGAACGGCGAGCGAACGAAACGCATTTATAACCATCACCGCGGTAACTATATTTTTTTATTCTCGCCACGGCCCATGGCGCCAAGCTATCGGGCCACCGCTGTATCATTACTCGCGCAGTGCCCCCCCCCGCCCCCGCTCGTCCGCTCGCGGTCTTATAACATTGGTACGACTATTACGTACACGCGTATGTACCTATATAGTTGTATAGCGGATGTACCTTATGCGCATACCACGACCGCGTCCTCGGCGGCAGGGCACGCACATGAAAAACGTTACCTACGTCGTTATATTATTACCATTATTATCATTATTATTATCATCATTATTATTATTATTTTTATTATTATTATTATTATTATTATTAATTCTTATTTTTTTGTAATATTTTTTCTGGGGATTTATAATGTCGGGTTTCCGCGCGGGGACCGGATGCTGTTCAGCGTGTGTATATTATGTGTGTGTGTGAGCGTGTAGGTATGTAACGTGGGAAACATACGTGTTGGTCGCCGACGGTAGACTGGGCCGACGACGCCGCCGCAGCAGCCGCCTAACAGCAACGGCTTCGACGGCGGCGGCGACAGTAGACACGACGATGATATGCAAATGAACGTGGAATGTAAATACAAATAATATGAATGCATATAGGCACTGGGTGATTCTCTTAACAGTAAACTGCAGTTTCAACAAGTATTCACGTATTTGAGTGAGTAGGTACCTATAAATATTTTTCTACATGATTCGAAGTCGAATTTACAGATCAAAATGTTTAAAAAAAATTATACATTATTTAAGTAATTTACTTTTTCGAATGACGAGGGCTAGGTTTTACATGAATTTGTGTGTACAAAAATCTAACTTTGGACCAGTTGTTAATCATAGTTATGACTTAAAATTTTTTGGGCACCTCTGTAATCATACTATATACTCCGCTCGTCTAAACTACCTATAAACCAAATACATACTTTTGTATTATAACTAACTACTCGCGAACGGTAGCAAAAATTAATTATGATTAATTATTATGATGATATTTACGTACATAAACGTTGTAGCTACCTCAATATAGAGGCACCGGATAAGAGTTTTTTTTTCGAAATCCCGTTTCTTTTTTCTTTTTACAGTATTATATTGTAATAATAGTATAATAATACTATAATATGCGAAGACGGCGAAATCCTAACAAAACGGCACGCGCGCGTTCGAATCGCTAAGAACAATATGATAATATTATTGTGTTCAGATAGTTTGGGAAAGTCGAGTTTTTCATTCGTCGGGATGTACCTATATTGTATTACTTTATGTGCAGCGTAGTTGCAGTACACTACCGCTCGTGGACCCTACATGACTATAATAACAAACATTGTACATACACGCGTCGTTATCTATTTCAAACGTCACAATCTCCGTGACTATAATATTTAAACCACGATCTGAGAGTAAAAAAAAGTCTCTAGCGAAAAGCCCTACAACTGTGGTACATGTGCACTGTTGCACTGTTGCAGTTGTCCATATAATATAAATACGATTCCGAAGTAGAAAGCGCGTAAAATTAAATTTCGCGTGTGCTATGGTCTCCGATACAGTATCATGCTTATTAGTTTTTTCATCGTCGTTATTATGACGCCGCGACGGAATACTGTATTAAAGTCATAATGATAATATTATTAAATTATGCTAATTTTGTTTTTTGTGCATTTTTTGCAGACGGACGTCGTGAAAGCGACATGTGACGAGCGGACCCGAGGACTGCAACAACGAGGGATCGTCGCCGACCTTGTGGGACCACCGCCGCGCAGTGCTAATTTTTCGCCTCATCCGCGAAACCATAAAATCACGAAGTTTTTTATTCCCCTCTCGGCAAAATGTACATAATAATATACGCCGAGGCGATAATATTATATCGTACAAAAGATAATGACTCTCAAATGCAGCCGACCATCATACCTGTACCCACCAGAAATATATTATTATTATCGTATGGTTCGCGTATATACTTGGCGTATATTAGCGGTGCCCTACTCCTTGTACATAATATATAACTGCATTCTGTGTAGTATACGTGTCACATACAGGGTGATTCTTTTAATGCGAATTCTTAGGAATTACATAAAAAAACATAGAAGTACGCGAGAAACGTATAACTGCAGTACCTACTTTTATGCAGTTATATGCACTCTGAGAAAAAAAAATACATCATTTTTAATTCCTTATATTTCCCTTATATTTCCCTATACCTTGTTGTTACACCTGTTCGCAATAAAAAAATCATTTTTCCCGTAAACGAGAGATATTACGGAAATCGATCTGTCCGGTGAATACGTTAATGGGTAAGTTTAGCAAATTGTATTATAACATATTTTTATATTATTATCTTTTTAGAGTCCTCGAGTACTTGCGTGTATGGACCACGTGACTCGCATTGTAATATTAAATTGTACAGACTTATAGCGTTTATTGTAAAAAGCATATTGACGGTCTGTTCGGTCCTCATATTTTACATACCTACATAATATTATATTATATTTATAAACCAAGCTGCGCCTGTGATCTCTGTTTTTAGACGATTTTCGTAGGAAAAGCCTAACAGTGTAATGTATATATCGTATCGTATAATCATACGTATAGGTAATATAATTGTTTAGTTAATTATTATTAAGTATATGAATTATTTACTATAGTATTAGGTAACGGCGTCGTCGTCGTGTTACAATGTATATATAGTTTCAACTGAACCGTTTCCCGTCCATATTATATTCTTGTTTTATTATTTTTATCATTAAGTATAAGGTGTATCGAATTTGTTGATTTTTTTTAAATATATTTTTTTTGTATTCGTCAAACATATTTTTATACGTTTATACTAAAGTATACATGTATTCAATACCCGTATTAGACATATTATGTGTATTGTGTATATTAATCATCGTGTGCTTAAAAAAAATTATTCTGATTTAAACGAATGGGCGATAAGTATACGATAGTATTATGATTACGGCTGGCCAAGTGCAATTATTATTAAAGTGTACGCGTGTGTAACATTTTATATTATGCTTTTATTGGTAATATTTTTTTATTATTATTATTATTATGTTATAATATATGCGTGCTACATCATATTACCTAGCCAATGTTATTATTCTTGTTATTATAATATTATTATTGTTCATTATTACATATTTTTTTAGCGATTTGTATATTTTCGCATGTAAAAAAACAACCAAAAAAACTATTTTAATCAATCGATGTATACATATATATATACTATAATATAGTTTATTAAACTGTAAACACCACGTGTACACTGTACAGGTGTATATTATAATATTATTTTATACGTGGAAATAAATGTCGAAAAGCGAATCAGTCAGAAGAAAAATAATAAACTATCTTCGTTTTTATTCCCTTTCACGTGTTTGAACCTTGTCACATGAAGTATAAACCAAAAAACTATATTATACGTATCACTGTATCTGCAGTAACTACAACTGATACTCTTCTAATTTACAATTCGGTCGATGAGGTTATCGATATGAGTTGTCTCATCCGATAGACCTGTACACTCGCAACAAATAGCCGTTATATACGTACATAAGTATTAATTATTATAATTTGCACAAACAATTGAACCAAACTTTATATAGGTACAACACGCAATGGCGGATCTATGATTTTGTTTTTTGGGAAGAGAGACCAGACATTTTTCAAAACAATATTAGTTACATATTTATAAAATACACTTTTATTAGTGATTAGGATTTTAAATATTATTAATTATGATATCATTGTATGTCACATAGCAGTCTAGTTGGCTATGAGGTAAGATGTTACACGAAAAATTACAAAATAGGTAGCAAAATCGTTTATTATAGCTTACAATTATAATATTGTCGTGGATATAAGATATGTAGAAAAGCTTATCAGTCTGAAGATAGAGAAACCGTCTTGGGTTTTATTCGCTTTGACGCTCATGGACCATAATATACCTACCGTCAGCAGCTACGGCTGGTATCTACTGATACCAATAACCCCGTCGATGCGAGTGGTCTAATCCGACGGACGGGGCACCTTAGTTGCGTCCCATTAAAAAGGTATACATGAATTGCGTCCCACTATATGGGATAGGTAGTAGAATTTTTATTTCGTTTTCAGGGGTTCTCAAAGGTATATTAACTATAAGTAAGCCACCGATGATGTTGCGCATTTGCAACTTTTTTCTACTTTTTCAATTTATTACCAAGTAAGTTTTAAATACATTTTTAGTAAGTAGAAATTCAAATCTAAAAATTTTAAGTGCAATTTATTGTAATTTTTGGGATTTTTTCAATTTTTTTGCAATTTTGTTTATTTACCAATTTACTCATTTATACAACTATTTTAGCTAAAGTCGACACTCGACAGTTGTACAGATAAGTTATTACTATAATTTCCCTCTATCAATATGAGCAGAAAAAAGTTCAAGTTTACAGCGAACGACAAACGCGTGCGAGTCTTTTCACAAAAAATTTAATAGTTTTTTTAATAGTTTCCATCCAAATATTTACACATTTTTAGATGTTTTAAAGATAATGCAAACCGATAATGTAATGTTAATAAAAAGCTCGCTAATTTCTGTACGTCATTATAGGAAACAACGCCAAAACAATATTTTATTTGTTGAAAATCAGATCAAAAAATTGAACGAAAATAAAATAACAAGGTTAGATTTTGTAAAAAGCTTATCTAATAAATATAAACCTAATTTTTGACTGACATTTTTATTGACATTATTATTATTAATTAATTAACTTATTTATTATATTATTGACTATATTAATTTTAATTGGATTTAAGTGATTTAACGTTTTTTTACTTTATATTTATAATTGTTAGTTATTTTTGTTAGTTATTTAAGAACCCCTGATTTAATTACACGAATTGCATCCTGCATTTTTTGGGACGCAATTCGTGTATACCTTTTTTACCGGACGCAACTCATGTGATCCCCCGACGGAGTGAATAGAAGTGAATAATGCCAGTGATACATTATTGGTATGTATGTCTACCTACAACAATGTGTGTGTAATACCTAACGCCAGTCGTCGGCCCGGTGTATTTATTACTATTATTATTATTATTATTATTATTATTATTGTTATTAGTTATTAGTGTTATTACTATTACGTCCTGAACCCCGTTCATGGATTGCGGTATACAGGCAATTACAATAATCGCCGCCTCGTTCACGACAGCAGTGAGTAATAATAATATTATTTCGGTGATTTGTCAAATACCGGTGCCCGGTGGTGGTGATGTGCACGTCGTATATTAGAAAGACTACAACTGTACAGTCGTTTTTCGATCGGATTCTCTCCGGCTAGGCGGCGGGAGGGTTAATGGCGTTCGTGAGGCCGATAAACAAACAATTCGTGGCATTAAATTATTTTTAATACCACCATATACGTACAATATAATAATAATAATATAATATAACATAATAAATAAATGAATAAAACGAGATCGCACGCGACGTGTGACGTCTCCGAGTCGCGATAAAGATTACATTATATTATTATATTATTATTATTATTATTATTATGAACCCGTTAATGACTCCGATGACTAGCCCGACTGAAAAAATCGAATACCTACCTGACCGTTATAAGCGAAGAAGGACGACGCAGTAGTTATTCGATCGGAACATCGAATGAGTAGTTTTAGTGTTTTACCGCACACTTTTACTCGTATTATACCAAGTAATAATTTAAATATCATTAATATCACGGCGCCAGGTACGACGGAATTACTGTTACGGCGTCATAATATATAAAATAATATGTCCGTGGCACGTGCAGTAAGCGTAGCCAGGATTTCTAAAAAGGGAGGAGGCCAATATAAAAATCTTATATCAAATTAAATCCGTATTGTTTCCACTGTAGAGACAATTTTTATACATTGACTCAAATCGTTGTTTGTGGATGTAAGCCTAGACACTTATCAACAGGTACCCATCCTTCCACCCACCGACCTTAGTAAATTTATCATTATGAGTTTTAAGAGCTAATCATACAATATTACATATTTTAAAATACAATTATATAAGTAAGGATGGCACTCACAATAGGAGGGCTGTTGGACCTGGATTACAAGGGCCCATTGAAATTATGAATCAGTAATTTTTGAAATTTTGATAGGAATATTTATTTTATATTAAATTATATTTTATGATATAAATGTTTGTTATAAAATATTAAGTAAAAATTGTGTGCATGCGGGACACCGCGTATCGTTTATTGGAAATTTTCAATAGGTTCCATAAAATACAAAAACCTTTAGTACAGGTGTCAAAAATTTGACGGGGGGGCTGATAAAACAAGTACGATTTTATAAAGTATGTCGAGATGAAAGATGTACTGTTTACTATTACTTAGTATCACGATTTAAGATAATTTACATGTTACTCAACACCGTATTGAAATATTCGTATCCAGAGTGATCCACACAGCAGGAAGAATCGCAAGAATCACAATTATAGAGCTTCCAGTGTACCTTTATTATAATTATAATATATAATGGCAGTTTGAGGACCTAGCTAGAGAAGCTTGCTCCTTTTTTTTGTTGCTATTATGTACTTAATCTACATTTTTATACTTACCGTACCAGTCATTATTATGCCCTAGCCTGGCAAACATTGAAATGACGCCCCTGAACTATGTCTGGACTATCAATGCATTGTTTTCCAAAGCTATATTATATTTAACGTAATGATCGCATTAAACATATACCTATAAGTTTATACTATTTATAAAATATGTTTGAATCAGAATGATTAAGTAGTTTGAATTTTGAATTTTTTGACAGTTTTAGATTTTAAGGAAATTTTTTTCATTTTTAGAGCATTAGAATTTTTGGGTATTTAACCCTAAAATCCTAATTTTTAAATTTTTTCTTAAAAGAACCTAGTCCTGAAAAATGTTTTTGTTCAAACCTTGTTCAAAATTAAAAATGAAGTTCATTAAAAAAATTATAAGTACATTATTTTGATTTTTTAAGACATTACATATTTACATTCCTTGCAGTCCTATAGTTATAAGCTATAACACTCATTATAAATGCTTAGTTTTAAACATGGCAAAAAATCTCATATATACATTTTTAATGACCAATTTCTGTTGGTACTTTCTACTAATGTCCGTATTATAATAATAATTTGTATTTCAACTTATATATGTGTATGTAGGTACACGGGACACGTGGTCAGATTACTAATTTTTCCAACTCTGTTGTGTGGTATTTCGGCGATAAGCATTAAGCGGTTTGTCCGTGAGTCATAATATTTAATGTGACTTAAAAGCGAACAAAACGGACACAGAAACACTTTATAAATTATTATAGAAACCGGCTGACGATAAGACGTTTCGTAAAATATACAAACAGAATCGATGGGTAATATAGTACAGCTGCAGGTATGTAATACTGTAATAATATATAATATATACATTTGTCAGTGCAAAAACTAAATTAACCCGCGGAGTCCATGGCCACGGTAACACGATGGTCCGCCGGGAGACCGCATTCTCTGTGAAATTGTTTGTTCGTTTTTAAATCTCATCGGGACACGTTCAATATTTTATTGTGCCCAAAAACATACGACCAGCAGCGGAGAACGTGTATATTAATATATTATAACCATGTACCTATTTCCTAACCATACGTACCATACATATGCATAACCTAACCTGCAGGGTGCAGTTCCGCCGTAAAACGTGTCTATTGGGAGGCTTAATTTTATAATACTAGCCGTCTT